GTTCACGTGCACGGACGCTGTTCGGCTCCCCGTTGTGTCGTCGAGGCCCTGCCGCGTGTTGTCCGCTCCTCGTGCCGCAAGCTTCTTCAGGAACTGAATTCAGCCAAAAGAAAAAACCTGTGATTTCGTACTCAAATGAGCATTGAGGCAGTGCTCATCTCCTTGTTTAGAGACCTGAGCCTGTGGTAGAAATTCCACATTCCTATGGTTTGGGTGAGTCCATCGGACATCTACTGTTGGCTTCCGCACACAGTTGTATTAATTTGATTGACTGTGGATGGATGAGAGGCTGAGTCAACCCCTAAGCAGGATTTTTTCCATCTGGCCTGGTTTGACAAACTAAATGACACCGCCAAATACTGGCCGCGTGACATGCACTCGGCTAGCAAGCACAATCAGTTCCCGAAGAAGCCCTTCGCACGTGGAGTGAAACGTCGGACACGCGATACAAACCGAAGACGCGTGGGCCAGCCGAGGAGCGGCTGCCTCTGTAATGTCACGGGCGGCGGTGGAGGCACGCGCCGATTGTTTACGGCTGCAACATTATTCATGACGCGCGTGATGAACGGCACGCACAGGCGCATCCATTTTGTCGTTGGAGGAAACCCACGTGGTTGTGTGTTCGGGCTGGAAAAAGCGAACCGAGCGGAGTTCGTTTTTGTGATGATGAATGCCATTAAGTGGGTGCCGTGAGCGATGGACACAGCGGTGGAGCAGCAGAGATGCTGACAGCTCTCCCTCGCCACAATCTCCACAAGCACGTTCAACCCTATTTCATCGATGAGTTTGCATTCGTGATCTATGGCTTTGGCTGTGCGAACCTCGGCTTAGTGAATGAGGTCAAAGTCAAAGTGATTTCCTGCTTAAATGAGCAATGATGCGGTGCTGATTTCGCCCTGAGCCGGTAGTGGAAATTCCAAATTCTTACAGCAACCGCAAGTCTTTCCATTTGTCAACTGCTGTTGACTTACTTTATCGACCCTGAAAGTATGATGGGCTGAGTCATCCCAAAGCCAGGATTTGAACTTGAAGATTTCTGATGGCGAGTCATTGATAACCAAATATAATAGATAAACAACTAAATACTTAGTTGTTGTGCAGTCGAGAACCCGGTTCAATCGCGGACATTAGCTGAGACCCCAATCCAATCACAGAACCTCAGTGGTGCACTCTGACCTCGGAGCCGCCCGGCCCCCTTCTGCAGCGGTGTCAGGAGGTGAACGCAGCACGGTCACCTCCTGCACTGCCGTGCATCTGCTCACGAGCATAAACCATCGTCATGGGAACTCCGGTCATCCTCGCAGCAGCAGACATGAGCTAGACATCGAACAAAGACGGTCACTGCATCGCGCTTTTTCAGATGCGCTTCTGCTGCCGTCTGGAACGTTCTTCTTTCCGATATTAGGAAGCCACTGGAGCTTGACACTTTGAAATCATCATCTAGATTGAAAACTAATTTCTTTAGAACTGCTTTTTGTGTTTAGTTTGTTGTCCTTCCCCCGTACCTCCGACAAGCACGGTTGGTTAGGTACGGTGCGAAAGAAGTTCAACATTCGTAAATACATACTATCGGCCACTAGGAAATTGATTCACTTCCACGCATCCCACAACTATTTTGGAGATTGCAGATAACCACCGCATAACCCCTTGCTGCAATTTATTGTAATGATTCACATTTGTTTGGATGTTTCGCCAAGGATGTTTCGTTGAAATGTTTAAAGTTGGGAGGCTGATTTTCAGAAAAAAGCCCCGGCTTGCATTCTTTTTCCAAGCATGCGTGCCCGCCCTGGCATCCTGTTGACAGGACGCGCGTCTCGGATTAAATACTTGTACCGGTGGTCTGGGCTCCGTTTTCGACAAACTATGGGTCTTGCTCGTGTCACAGCTGGACTCCAATCGGCGAATTCTCGGTGTGCATTGTTCACGCGCACGCGCGCGCGGCATGAGCGCCAAGGTGGTCTTGCAGAAGCAGCACCGACATCACAGGGGGAGTAACGCAATGCGGAGAGAAGAGCTCTGTCGCTGTCTGGGTCGTTACAGTGACGCACGGGAGCGTCCCAGGGTTTCTTCTGGTAAATGCCACTGTCGATCAATAAAAGTCAAACGAGCCGCGGAATTTTCTAAATGATAGTGGCGTTTTTTTGTAATCGTGGTGTGTTTTGATATTCATCAATGGTTCTAAAAAAGAAATCAATCGTAATAATTTACAGCCCGCTATCAACCCGCTGCTGGATGAAAGCCTCCCCATTGTTGTATCGATGTGGGTGGTTTGGCCACACTTCACCATGCTTGGGGCCCTGAACCGATTCTGCTATCACTCGCCACCGATGTTATTCGTGGCTGGGAATCGAACTCGGGTGAAAAAAAAAAGTGTTCACAGCGCAGCAAAAGGAGCCACTGCACCAGCACCTGTCATGAGCACTTCAACATCCCAGAAACACAAATCACAGGGAGAATGTTTTGATTGTGAAGAGATCTCGGGAGAGGCTAGCATGCGAGATTCACCACGGTCTTGTCATCTGTTGTGGTCGCAGTGGGGCTACGTGGCGGGCAGTAGAAGGCAGTGCAGAATAATAATCCATTGTTGTACTGTATCTGTACACTTCCTCGTCTATGCTCCCTGAAGTGGACAACCCTCAATAAAGCAACGTGGTAACGCGCGGTGTAATAACCCCACCACCCGCACAGCGGTGCGTAGGCCTCGGTCTGGCAGCGGATTGACGCAGCACTGGAGGTGTGGATGACGACTTGGCGTGGTGGCTCGTTAATGTGGACACCACACCAGACTGCCTCGTGTCCCTCTGTGTCACGGGAAGCACTGAAACGAGCTCGAGGAGCGGAAGAGCATTTTGACAACAGCACCGAGAGCCGACACCGCGACGGCGCAGCGAACAAGCGGCCGGTTTCCTCACGCGGCTTTCCTCCCCCACGCCCTGCGCCCTGCGCCAGCCCCTCGCACGTCTCGCTCGGCTTTCCAGCGCGTTCCCCGGCCGCACGGCGCGACGCGATTATCAGTGGAATTCTGTGGCAGCCGCGCGTTAAACAGCCGCTCGCTCGGGGTCGAGAGGGCGAGCGCCTCGCGCGCACTGCCTCGGCCACCGCGACGTCGCCTCCTCCGTGCGCTCGGAGGTCACGCGAGGTGCCAAGCGGAATGCCGAAGCCGCCGACGCAGGGCCCCGCCGAGCCCGCACTTCGGAGAATTCGCACCGCAGTCTGCGCCGTGTGGTTGGCGTCGGCTTGGGGTTGCGGCCGCCCGCAGCAGAGATTCGTGATCTCCCGCAATCTCCACCGAGTGCCAAGAGCCCCGGCCGCGTCGAGACGCGCCTCACATCATGGGCAGCTTTAACACGAATACAACAAAACTAAAAAAAAACTCGTTCCTGGGCCACCGCGCCCAAGCCTTGCGAGTCCCCGCGGGGACGCGGAGACGACCCCGGGGGGCAGAGGGCGCGCAGGGAACGCCGCCGGGGATGTTGCTGACATGGCGGCGCTTCCCCCCTGGAAGGTCCGAGCCGTGCGGCACAGGAGTGCTGCTTCCGCGGTGAAACAAAACCGGCGGAGGAAATCGATGCCATTGTGTGCCGTTACCTGCACCCTGGCCTCATCAATTATTTTTTCCAAAGTGTTCTATTTCCCAGACTTGATAACCGGGGGGTGTCACACACGGGACCGGCACGTAGTGTTCCCTGAGTCTCTCTCGATACGAGATGCGGATGTCGCCCGCTAAGCGAAACACATGTTTAGGTATTGTTATTACTACTACTATTACACAGTCGTAAAACAAAGTACGGCCAAGTGACGTGGAGGCGATAAACGCCTGTGATGTCACTCGCGCGAGCTCCGAACGATGTTAGCGGTCGGCTGCCGAATTTAAACCCATTCACCGCGTTTAGATTCTAAAAGTTAACTCTGCGGCTCGAGACAAATACATTTTAAACAAGGCATGCACTTATTTGCTTTGAATATCAATTCGATCATGAAAGATCGGATAGCCTGTAACATTTAGCTTTAAAACGTACAAACGCGTTCCAGAGCAGAGCAGAGAGACGGAGATGCGAAAACTCCACACGGGCTTGGGAGCGAATTCCACTGCGGGTTTTTTTGTGACTTCAAGCGACGTTCACGCGACGATTCATTACAGAGGCAAGTGGCGACGATACCCAACGCACTGCGAGTGGGCATTGGGCTCTCCCTCAGATCCACTCTCCCGACGAGGAGGAGGAGGAGGAGGCCTCACGGGATTTTCTTGGCAGAAAAAACCAAAACCTTGAGATGGAACTGGCTGCACGCGTGGCCTGGAGTCACGGGCTCGTCGCGTCCCTCGTGTCATCTGCGACCCCCACACGCGCGCGGGTCACTGACTGGTGAATGTAGCCACGAGAGTCGATGCCGAACAAAGCGAGGGCCTCCTCCCGTCGCTTGCTCACAAGCCGCCTCTCGTGCCAGGGCGCGCTTTGAGCGAGCGAGCGAGCGCGTGGCGATGAACCAGCGACGAGCAGCACTTTGAAAGTTGTAATGGGTGAGAGTGAATGTTTGGTAAATTGCGGTGGGCTGTGACAACTTGGGGAGTTGCAGGTGGCGAGGTGGATTGTGAGAGGTGGCGGCAGCTTTGGGAGCTTTCCTTCAGCGATTGGCCACGGCTGCTGGTGATGGGGACTTGGGAAACGAGACGACGGGAGGGAATTCCAAAGTGGAGCAGTGGAAGACGCAGAACTAGAAGTGTGGGTGAGCCGCAACGTGGTGGCGGTTGCACACACGGCGTGGATGAGACGAAGCGGCCAGTGTCTGGTCGATCGAGTCGACGGTACGCGTGGCGGGATCGATGAGTGGTGTTCATGAGTAAGTAGAAACATTTGTTATTGCGCTCTCTTACGAGTCCAGACCATCATGAATGCGGTAGCCAGAGCAGTAGCCAGGGTAGTAGCAGTAAAAGAGTGATGCAGAGGCGATGGACTACCGATCTCGAACGCGGTGCGGCTGGAATGACCACCTCGTCACAGTACAGGTCTCGTCTTTATTAGATAAAACAGACATCCTAAGTCGTTTCTTTTTTTTACAGAGACATCGAGAGCCAGCACCTCCACTCGGGCCCACTCCGCTGTGCCGATGGGAATGCTGCGTTATTTACATCAACATTTACAAAGCACTCGCACGAACACAACATCCAGAACGATAACTTTGCATGAACAGAACGTTTAGAAATGTATACGACCCTAACACGTGGCTTCGCAAGAGCTTTCTACGCAATCGTAAATGGTCAGCGTCGTTTATTTTTCGCGCTTTTTGCCAAGAAAACAACCACGACGGTTCTCGAAGACGTAAAACATCCCGCTCAAAATAAAAACAAGATGTTTAAATTGTAGATTGTTTACGGGTTATCCTAAATACATTTCTTAAAAGGGGTCAAGGGTTACTTGTGTTAGAGCGTTTTGGAAGCCGAGCGATGCGCGCACACGCGTGCGCAAAGCTTGCTATTTTAAAAAACAAACAAAACAAAACTATCCGCAGACATCTCTGTGCTGCAGCATGAATGCATTATAGTATTTGACACCGTCCACGATCACACGAGGCGTGCAGTCAGCGAGTATACAGCACAGGTGTGTGTGGAGATGTGAACGGTGACGCATACATCGGCAACTCTGTTCCAGGCGAAACTCAACACCGCACACCTGCACAGTTTGTGTGTGTATATATTAATAAAGACGGCAACACGCTACTATGCTAAATGAAAATGCTCTCCGTGTGGTTCGCTATTAAATATAGTGGAAGTGTAGTACATTGAGGTATTCAGAATAATGCTGCTACAGAAATATAACATTGAGGGGGTCACGTGGTTGAGAAGCGTCTGTGGCATCACCACGAATGCTGCGGGCGAAAGGCGCCGCCACCACCCTCGGTCACCCGACGGAGAGCGTCAGCGTGTTCACACATCGGCACGGCTCCGATTGTGATCGTTCCCGTGGATGCGGCGCGAGGAGCCGCGTGCCTGGCGACAGCGGCGCGCGTCTTCTGGTTCCGAGCGGTCCCTGCGGAGAGGGTGGCCGCTCGTCGTCGTCGTCGCTTTGTTCATCGATCTCCGACTTCCGGACGCACGTTGAGTTTCTGGAAGGTTTGCGAGTCGGCGAGTCCGAGTCGGTGTGCGCGCGTCGAGAGCACTTCGTATTTTGTGGACCACCAGACTCAAAAAGGAGCACTCGCGAAATCGCAGGGCGAGATCACGAGCCGTTAACGGTCTGCACCTAAATACTGCTCGACAAAGTATTTTCCATTCTACACGCCCGACCACCAGCACGAGGTACTCGCGTCGTACCGACAGCGATGGACATTGGGCACAGGAGGGACCCTACTGCCTGCGCGGGACAAGACGAGTCGCTGCGTCTACGCTCTGAGATGGACACAATACTGATGTTTGAAGTACATTTGGCAGTAGAGACGAGCAACTCAAAGGGACTTAACATAAATACATAAATACTTCATGAGAAGTTCCAGGCTGTTTTTGGTTTGGACTAGGAGATTACATCTCTCGAATGGAAACAGAGAAAAGCGACCGGTAGGGTTTCCGCGGTTGCTCTGCGTGTCTCTCCCCACGGGCGTTCGGCTCGTTCGGCACACCGCCAGGCACGAGGTCCGGCGTTTCGCTCCAGGTGCCAGCAACATGTTTTTCATCACGTGGAGCAAAATGTCACATATCGTGCTGAGCGGCGTGCGGAATGACACAAAAACGCTTCGGAGAGCTTCCAACTCGAGAAACGACGGACAAAACATCCGCACCTCAAGTTGTCCTCTCACGCGAGGTGACTTTGCCGTTCCGATTATTTATCACCGCTCGCAACAGTTCAGTTGCTTTCTCTCTCAACAGAATCTAGCGGGTGGGCACGGACCGATTGGCCCTGGCGTGCACAGTTGGCAGAGCAGTAAATGCTGAATTGTGAGTACAGTATTTGACTCCAAAGAGCACAAGACCCTACGAGTTGCTCTTCAGCTTAAGCACCTTTACAAAACTAAATTAAAAGTCCCATGTAACTTTATTTTACGAGAAAAAAATATTAACAGATTTTGTTGTTGTTAGCATATTGCTGTTTCATTGAAATGCTGATGAATCGTTAGCGTGGTGTGTACGCGTATATTTATTACTGATGGAAACATAACAGTGCTTTGCCATTCCGTAATACTGTGCGTCTCCCTGACGTGCATCAAATAAGCGTAGTTTCACAACTTATACGCAAAAAAACCCTGTTTGAAAATAACAACAATAATAATTTAAAAAATAAACCGTCCGCCACAATGCCGTCAGACTGGCTCGAGCAAACACAAATGCAGTTTTTTTTCCATCGCCGCAGTACAGTTTTTACACCAGGGGCACAACTAAAAAGCATAAACTACTCTCTTGCCTGACGAAGCGACACGCCAACCTCGGCTGGCACCGGCGGCAATTTCCTCGTCGTTTTGTTGTCTTTGGGTCGCGGTCGCGGTCCGTACCACAATGACGGCCTGTGGAGCTTCAGCACGAGCCTCGCTCGGTCTGCGGATCTCACGCGCAGAAGTTGCTCTCAGCCTGCAGTGGTTGACTAAAGCAGTCGACACATTCAGTTGACTCTTTAGTTTTTCATCATTGGCGTGAGGACCATGCAGTTTCCCGTCAATTTTTTTGATCAGGTCAGCCAATCAGGGAAACTCGGTTCATCCTTTATATATATGTACAGTCTGGTAAATTTACCATGTGCGGTCTTCCTCAGTGCACTGCTTGTTGAACGATCACAGTCATGTCACTCATTGGTCTTTGGTGGGGAGTCATAATCGGCGCCGCGCTTCTGTGTTGACTAAAACAAAAACAACTAAAATGCATCGTTGACGAATATTTTTGTCACTAATTTCGCTCGTGACATGATCGCTGGCGAGCAAATTCTCGCGAAGGGCCACGAGATGAGAAGACTGCGAGTCCCAACACCGGCACGAGATCCTCAAAGGAAACCGAGGGTGGGCGACTTCAGCCAAAGTAACCGCTCCCCCATCGAGATCAACCACGCAACGCCGCCGTTTCGTCTCGTCAATTAGGCAAAGCTGCGATGGTTTTAAGCGGCAACGGATTCTACAAGGTTATAGATAAACGACGCCACCGACAAAGTATTTCGTTGTAAGTAATCACGGAAGAATATAGTATTAAAGCTGCTCGTCCTCATGGCGTGAAATACATTTACGTAAATGGGTTTATACGAAAGGAACTTTCATCAACGGGTTGTGTGATATGTTCAAAGGTTTTTTGTGTATATTTTATTTCGCCACGGGAGCTGGCGGTGAAGATGTGACGCACATCTTCTCCGCATCGTCTCCCAGCCGGAGGGGCCCGTGCCATCGTTTGTGTGCCAGAGCAATCTCTGCACAGCCCTTGTGTTGAGTTGGTTCGAACTTGCGACTTTTAGGATCCTAAATAGACCCGACAAACATGACGGACTATGAATCTCTTTGTGAAATGAAAGGGAGTGCGCTAAAGGCAGAACTTGCCGCAGTGCGAGAGTGCCCGACTATTAATGTGGAGACATTGCGACTCTTAAAGTCGTCTCTTCAATGCGCTACGCTGTGTACATTTACGGGGGTGAAACATCAGTAAACTTAATCTGCAAAAAAACATTCTCGGCCGCGTGACTTTTAAAACGGCCTCCAGTTTTTATTTATTTAATTACTCCAACACGTGACCCAATCGTCGTTCCGCCGCTAACTTTACTTCAAACGAGCCCGAGATGAAGAAGGACCTTGAGATGCAAGGAACTCTCACTTGGGCAGGGGGCGAGTGAGCTGGAGGGTGCGGCAACGGCGGGCGGGGAGCAGATGGACGTTTATCTCGACAATTTGCTTTCTGCGTATCTTTTAAGAGTGGTATCACCTTTTTTGTCTCAGCCAGCGTTAATGTAACGTACAAACATGACAAAGGAGACAGGTAAATGCCTTCGTTCTCTAAGAATGGACACAGCAGCTTTAATGAGATGTTTCAAAGATGCGTTATGGTTGTGTACTCTGGCTACTTGAACCGAATTCCTGAGTGAGGTGTGCTGTACCCAGAGGTCGGTCCCACCATTGTACTCAGCCGTGGCTCTGCTTTTTCCTGATTTAGCTCGTGTTTCAGAATTCCTCAAAATTTTCAGCTTCACTTATTTTCCTGGAATGTTAAAACAAAATCAAGTAATGCCATTTTTCAGGTAAATTGTGCAAATTTAAGAAACGGGCGAGTGTGGGCTAGCTTCAGATAACACTTCTCTCGGCGCTCGTCTCCTACCCATGAGCAGTGGCGATCCCACCTCTCGATACCATCAGTGGTTTGGTAAGCACCGTGATTGTGCTAAAAACAGGAGACACACACACACACATCTTTCAACAGTTTTGTGTTTGTTTGTTATCCCGGTCGTCTCGCTAAAGTGTCATTCGCGCCGTGATTCAAACTCGTATTTCCATTGGCAAGGCACCCTGGAGCCCGGACATAATCACAGAGTTCACGTCGGCAGTTCTCGTTCGGTACGTCCGTGGGATTCCTCGTTCCTTTCTTCACGCCTGCCCTCAGCCCCCGTCGCCGCTAACCGAAGAAGGGATCCTCGCCGTCGTGCGCGAGGCCCTCGGGCACCAGCTGGTCGGAGTGCACGTCCTGCCCGCAGCCCGGCTCCCTGGCCGCGACGGCCGCCGCCGCCGAGAAGTCGCAGGCGAACCACGGGTGGTGGAGGATGTCGCGCGCCGTGAGCCGCTCGCTCGGGTCCCTGCGCAGCAGGTCGCGAATGAGGCAGCGCGCCTTGGGCGACAGCGCCTCGGGGAGCGCGTACTGGCCGCGGCGGATGCGCGCGAACAGCGCCGTGGGCTCGCTCTCGTGGAAGGGGTACTGGCCCACGAGCATGGTGTAGAGCATCACGCCCAGGCTCCACACGTCGGCCGCGCGGCCCGAGTAACGGCCCGACGAGCCGCCGGCCGTCAGGATCTCCGGGCTCACGTAGGCCGGGCAGCCCACCTTCTCGGCCAGCGAGTCGTCGTCGCTGTGCAGCACGCACACGTCCTCCAGGCCCTCGAGCCGCAAGCTCATCCTGCGTGCACACGTGAGGCTTTCATTATAAAGAGGTAACCTTGTTTTGGCGTCGTTTGTTTTTAGCTTAGAGCGTGATATCGGACTTAATTTTAGTCGGGCTCGGGCCCCGTAAATGATCTGGCCGAATCGTAGCTGTGAAACCCTCCACCACCAGACAGAGCCAAACAAAATGTACGGGCCACGTGGTGTACAAGCGTTTAACGCACAAATTATCATTGTGTCTCGAACGCTCTTCCTTCCGATATTACAAAGCCACAGGAGCTCTGCACTGTTAAATTTAAATTAAAAACCCATTTCTTGAGCACTGCTTTTTGTGTTTGGGTTGTTGCTCACCTCCACACCTCCGATTGGCATGGTTAGCTACGTACGGTGCGAAAGAAATTCAACATACATACATACGTGTCAGCTCCTTCACTAGTGAGTTGAAACACAATTTTCACATCCATATTTATGCTAAATCTGGTTGAAAAGAGTGAAAGGTTCCGAGTGAAATGCTTTTCAAGGTTTCAAACGATGCAGACGAGGTCAGTAAGGGGACGAGGAGTGGCAAAAAGAAACGTTGAGGTCATAGTGAACAAAAAACATCGGTAAATAAATAAATAAAGAGTGAAAGCCAAAGGGCAAACGGTGAAAAACAAAACATCGTTTGGGATGATGTCAACAGTGATGCAAAGGTCGATGGGTGGATCAGTTTTTAATGTGTGTGCAACTCAAGTGTGATTCAACATCTTGCTAGGATCTCATCTCCATTCCTCCCCTGAAATAAGCCGTAAGTCAGCACTCTAGGTATTAATGCCATTCTTATATAGTGCAAGACTGTGTTTACTTACAGATATAGTCTGCCAGAAGGTGGCAATGCTGATATGTGGTTTTGTCCCAATGAAATACTTTGCGGGTAACTTTTGAAATTTGGAAAATTTGGACCTTGACATTCATTGCCTATTCCCTTTCACCAACGTCACGGTACTTCCACAGTGAATGGGATGTGTGCTATGGGTAATACCCCCACGCGGTTAACCGGGGCGGCCGCTGGGCTCGAACCGCGACAGACAGCAAACGCGCTGCCACTCGGCCACGTCACCGCCCCAAAACAAATGATCATCTGCCGCTCGGCACAAACCTTTTTTAAAAGACGGGACGTGTTTGATCGTCAGTTTAACACATAGGCTTTCGCGACCAATATCATTCATAATAGAGGTTCCATAAGAGAAGGACAAGTTGAAAGGGCTCGCATAATGCGCATGCATAATGTACGTTGGCTCATTAATCCCCCCCACCCCCCCCCCCCCACTTTGCGCAAGAGCGCAGACGCGTGGTCACCACATCTACGCCTCTAGATAAGGAACGAAACAGGTGGACTTCTCCACAAATCTGGCTGTCGCCTGATGAAGCTAGTTGTAATTACTGGCGAAACGTCGTACTCAGTTTGTAAATGTTGTGGCTTGGCTCTCCAGCACACCGGTGTGCTGTACTAGTGACGAATTGGCATGTTACGTTTACGTGACAACCCTTACTAGTTGGCTGTGTCGGGTGGTGGCGGGTTTTAACGACATATTTCTATATTTACACGATCTAAACCAAAAAAAAAACCCTCTGTTATGGTGTTTGATCGTGGAAGTTTAACAAATGTGTGCAGGCAGTTAGAGGTGATACCCCCTTCTAAGTGATTTGTGTGACATCTATAGCAGTGTGCATGGAAGAGTAGGCCAAAAACCCCCTTGAGGTGCTCTCTAGTGGAGGCCATTCTGTCAGCAGTGGCGTGAGCGAGCACTTGCAGGGCTGCACCTTTGCTACCTGTTGCACAGCAATGGCTTCGAGAGCAATTCCACCGCAAATTAATTTTGCCGAGTTAACTCAGCGGGCGGCGAAAGAGGCGACAGTCGGATTTCACACAAAAGATCGCGGCTCTGCACGACAGCCCCAGGAGTGAAGCGCGCGAAGCGACATTCCAAAGTGGTTGGCAGCGGCCCCAGGACGTGCCAAGATTCACAATCCACGCCTGGGCGCACTTCACCCAAACCGTTTTGAAAATGTTACATAAACATTTCGTGAAACCGGCAAGGATTTCCAGATTTCTGGCTCCAGGCACGATGCCCCAGGACTGCACTCTTAGGCATCGCACGTCGCGAATGTGGCAAAGGGCGATATTTCTCGAGGGATGCTCTTTTGCCGAGAGACGAACAAAGGAGTGATTATTTCCCGCCCGTGGCCACCCCCTCTGCCTCTTCGCCGTCATTTAAAGGGGACACCTTTGTTTGCTCTTAGATTCGGTCCCGTGCGCTCGCGCGGTCCAGCGTTCGCCATCATGTCATTTCAATACACGACGACCTTGCAGGTGCCCCATCGCGGGGCCATCGCCGTACGCGCAGGAGATCCGCTAATCTAATGGCCACGTGCAGTGCACCGCAGGACTTGCCGACTTGAGAACTAGGGGAAGCTTTGTCAACCACAAACCCCAACAATAAACCGCAGGCGGCCTGCGAAGGCAGGACGCCTCATATCCCCGAGAGAGAGAGAGACGGCACGCCGAGCCGGTGGCTTTCCCCGCAGCGCCTGGGCCCCTCGCTCAGCACGCTGACGGCGCTCCTCTCGCGTGCGCCACGGCCACAGCTCCCTCGCTCCCTCGCTCGCTCTCAGCACCGCGCTCGGCCGAATCCCAGCATTTGCATCCGTTGTACAAACTCCGCGTGGCATTTTAGTAATAATAATGCCGGGCTCCTGAGCCGTTCGTTTTTTTGTTTGCTTTCCCCCGAGGCACATGTTTGCACTTAAGTCTCCGTGGCGCAGGCGCAGTTATACAAGGCAGTACAGTAATTGCTCGCCAGTAGCCAAAGGGAGCGCACGCACAGGAAAGCCTCTTTGCCTCACCACAGGGTGAAGGTCATCAGTTTCCAGGGCTCAGCCGCCTGCACGAGCTATCTGATTGGCTGGCTGCAAGCTCGCTCGACACTCACATTTTCCATCGCCCGCTACCCTACATGGCAATCCAGTCCAGTCCGGTACAACCTGGCTCCGGGGCTCTCGAACGCGGCACGCCGAGGTCCACGCGTTCTTTATTTTGTCGCCGGCGTCAAGTCCCGCTCGCGTTTCGGGGAAGCACGTCGGATGAAGGTCGCCCCGTCGTTTGTCGGGATCGCGGCCGCCGGGGCACGGCCGCGCATCTCGGCGACTCCGAGGATACGCGCGAGGTCCCTGCGGGGGCCGCGTGGCGTCTCTGAATGGTAGCTTCGTGCGTGCGCAGCAACGAGAGCGGTCTTCGTTCTTCGGCTTCCCCCCACCCCCCGTTTTTTTTACGAGCCCCGGAGAATCGCCCAGGATCAACTTAGTACGTCACCTCTCTCCACCCAGCGCGATTCCCAGCGCGCACGTCAAAAACGCCAAGGCAATCGGTTCATCCTGCACCTGACCGGCTGCCTTGATTTGCTCTTCAGAAATCTGCTGTGGCAGCTGTTACACAATGTGCCGGTGCAGGGTGCAGGGCGGCCACGGCGGCACACACGCGGTAGGGCATTAACAAAGTGCTGGGCAGAGTTGGTAAGCCTCTTCCCATCAGCTGATTTCAGCAATCAATTACCTAAGGCTTTTTATTCCTATGCCCATGTGTGCATCAGAGTAAGTCTTTGAGAAAACCCAGCATTATGCTAATCTCTCGAGTTGGCCTGTTTCTCCGTTGAGTCATTTCCTGCATAGCTTGGCGAGAAAAGCAATACGCGAGAACATCTGCTGGCCAAACACATTCCTTATCAAGCACGCTGCCAAGTCGCTCTTAAAGGGAATTGGGCACAGCGGCAGATCTCAGGGAGACCAGTCTAGTACAGAAGAGATATTCAACCAAACATTCATGTTTGCTGCAGCTGGAATTTTTCCCCCCGCTTCGGTGCCAATTGAATGCGCAACAGTTTGAAATGTAACACACAGCTGTCAACAATGCATAACGTGTCTGCAGGGATGACATCATAAACCAGGACCACACACACACACGGCGGTGACGACGCTGTAAACATTTGTCTCAGCTGTGCCACCTGGTCAAGGAACTGGGAAAACAAACATGTAAGGCCATGTAAAGCGAGCGAGCAACCGAGCGTGCGAATGACGTCAAGTGAGCAGCGGCACGATTAACTAAAACATATAGCCCAGCTCAGAGGTCAGAAGGCTGAGGTCATCAGAACGCTGAGCTGGCACTGCTGAGACCCTTGGTTTGAATCTGGGTTTCAGCCACCTGTGAGTGACCTGGGTTCTCTAGTTTTTGATTGATGGTTCTCGACCGGTCACCGATGGTTGCACACACACACACAATCGTAACCTTAAATTTAGTTCTGCACTTCATGTGGATAGGTTCTGGCTCTGAGACTTAAACATATCAGATGGCAATGGCTGGTGGGGAAGTGTGTGGACCAGAGGTCAGCTGAAGGTATCTCGGAGGTAGCTCTAAGATATCCACTTTTATCATGAATTGATACCGATAACACATTCGGGAAAACGCTGGGGAACTACACATGGATCAGTGACGCTTTCCAAAATGCGTTTGTTCTTGTATTTCATGAGTGATAATTACATCATCGAAAATAATCATGTCATCAACAGTGGAGGTGAGCGCATGACGCGTGACGTCGTTGGATGACGCGCACGCCGTGAACCCATCACGAGAAATACCTGACCTCGTGTTACGGACGGATAGAGCCGTACGAAATCAACGCTCTCATCCCGAGTGGGAAAGCAGCAGCGAGGCAAAAGAGGGGCGGTGGGGGCGCTCCTCACCGGTCCTCATCACGGAAGACGAACTTGCGCAGCTTGAGGTCGCGCAGGACGATGCCGTGCTGGTGGCAGTGATCCACGGCCGACACGGCCTGGTGGAAGAGGCGCGCCGCCTCCTCCTCGGGCAGCCGCTTGCAGGCGCGCACGTGCGAGTGGAGGTCGCCGCAGCCGCGCTCCAGGAAGGCGTAGGCCCAGTGCTCGCCCAGCAGCACCTCGTCCACGCACGCCACGCTCTCGTGCGGCGGGATCCGGAAGTAGGCCGCCAGCGAGTCGCGGTAGCTCGCCACGTCGAAAACCTGAATGCAGAAGTTCGGCGCAAGGGTCAACGACGCCGCTCTGTATCCACGGGACCTTTGTTTGCGAGTGTCAAAATTATGCGGGGAAAAGAAGAATAGGCTTTACCCTTTCTGTCAATAAAACAGTTGTGTTAAGATGTTCAAATAGATAACTCCTGCCCGCCACGTGGCCCCGCGGCAGTCTGTGGCGCCTGGTGAAGCGTGGAGGTCGCCCACCCGGGCACTATCCCTGCCTTAAATAACACACGCTAATACGGTGCGTATTAAAAACACGCGCTAAGAGCTCACCTTTCGATAATCTAAAAATAGAAAAAGGCAAATTCAAATGAATGAAGTTGGTTATCAGATGCTCTATGATGCTGGCTTCAATTATGCACCATCAAGCGAGCAAAGGCCACCACATTCAGAAACAAGGCAAAGGTGGAGCCCTGCCATTATTCCCACCACTGCCAGTGGAAGGGCCTCCACTAGAGAAGCTCTCGCGAGCTTTCTAGAGATTATAAGGCGAACTATCCCACTCTGTTCCCCACCACACGTGACTTTCCAAACGGCTGCGGTGCATCCATTGACACTGCTGGTGCTGGGCGGACCAGATGCACTGCGGGGGATTGAGGAGGCTGCACCGTTGTTTCAACTGCCGTGCTCGGAGATCGAAGCGGCGACCTCTGCATTGCGAGCCCAGTGCTCTGTTAACCGTAACCCTGCGGCCGCATCCCCCGATGTGTTTACGCCTCTCTAAACGCCGCTTCCGCGGGGCACAGCATTTTGTGGTAATTACCGTTCATCACGGGTTGCCAAATCGGGCTTAAACAGAACCAGAGCGCCTTGGCTGCACGGAGAGAGAGCCAGTCACCATCGTGCACTAAGAGCCGCAGCGAGGCGAGTGTAAGGGGCAGATGCGGGAGCAGGTTCCTAACAGGCAGTCTGAATAGCCGAGGCAGTCTTATCTGTATGCGTGGGGTTTACTCTCCCCGACAAAACGTTTCCTCCCACGCGTAAAGCTATTCGAAAAGGAATTTCACAAACAACCGAAAGCAGGATCGTTCTAAAAAAAACCCCCAACCAAGCGTCTCGAGACTCGCTGAGGCTTTCCCAAGTAAACAAAGAAGTATTATTCATATTGATGAGTCACGACAAAATAGTTTCATGGAATGAAAACCCGAAGCCATGTAACATTTAAGTGTTATATAACCCTATAGACTGGGCAAACTTGTTACGTGCGCAGCTGCCGATGAGAGGTGCTTAACCCATGGTCCGGCGGGGTCACGGGTCATCTTGGTGCCGAGAGGTTGCGGGCGAGCTCTCGGGTTTTTGGCGAAGGCTGCGCTCGGCACGCGGCCGGCAGGGTTACCTGGAGCTCGTTAACCAGCGGCCGAATCAAGGGCGCACACCTGAATCTCATGGCGTGCACCAAAATGCCTTGAGGCTCTGGCGAGGCGTGAGTTATTAATAACGCCGCGGCGGAGACGCGAGCCGTGCTACTCATGCGGAATTGTCGTGACATGGCACTTGGCTTAGCGATGGGCTTACAAACGCTTCGGTCCGACTTGAATGACTGCGAGATTGCGCAGTGCCACGTCAGATGCCGTGAGCGTAACGCACCGTGTTAATGTTATTTAAAAAGCTCAGCACGTTCGTCAGTAACATTGCCGTACAAGGATGTATATGCATATATACACTCATGTACAAAAAAGGTGACGTTTCGGGCAATGGACCACCATCATAGCAGAGAGAAAGACCACTGCCCAAAATCATCTGATAGTATTATGTTTTCCTTTTTAGGGAAGCGCTGTGGGGTGAATGTGCTGAGCTTTTATTTTTTGTGCTTGTGAACCAGTATCAGGAAAAAATAATGGGTATGATTTTTTTGTATTTGTTGAAGCAGTCGCCAATTGGGGCTGGACCTTAACATTTTAGTACTCATGCAGGGGCAAAGTGTCGCTGTTACACGTTTTGAAAAGCGTACAATGCAGGGCACGTGTTATGTTTGCTAATTGTAAAAAATAAAGCCAGGGAAGAAATGTTTTATTTTATTATTGCAAACGTGAAATGTCACAATGGACAAAAAATAAATGAGGGGTTCGACTTTAGGGTGGAAGTAGATCAAACACCTACTCCAAAAAGCATGCCAGGAATGTGAAAAACAATAACCACATTCTTAAAGATGAATTGCAAAGGCAACTGAAACATGCCCTCCCGTTTTATTATGAGAAATGCAGGCACTAGAGGGAAATGTGGTATGACTCCATTTCAAATGTCAAACAGCTGGGCACCTGGAAAATGTAACCGTCAAAACATAATTTGGAAACTTGGAAAAGAAAAGAATTGAAACTTCCATCATTGAAACCTTGGACAAATGACACGGTGTGTCATGTATGACTTTGCAGTTCCTTTCGCAATGTCCCTCCTGCATGGATACAATGGCACAGCTGAGCAGGACATGAGAGTGTGCAATTGGCACAACTGAAATGCAAATGTGCCCTATGACGTTTGTGATACAATACTTCCCGAGATACAATGCTTCCCGAGATAATTCCACCCGAATGTATAATTATGGCAGAGGCACTCTGAAGTCACTGGCTATTAATACAAAGGGTGCCGTTTGTGCTTGCAAACACGACCTTACTAAATCCGTGTTTCGGAATGTTCATTTTGTGAATTGTGCTAAATTACAATCTGATTTTGGTTACCGGCTGTTGTTCATTTGGAGCATTAACTCCCTAAAAAAGTTCAATACGATATGGTTACTGTATTACCAAATGCCAAAACTGAACATTGCCGGCTTTATTTGGCACTGAAATTCAGCAGCCTGCAAACCGATCCTTGGCTTCCAACGTGCGGCTACTGCAACCGTTTAACAAGGTCTGCGTTTCCCGATAATGAACGACGAACACGCAAGGCGCTCGCATCAATAACCAGGCGGCTGGCCAGTCCAGGGAACACCAAAGACAATACATTCGCTTAGAACGTCTTCAACGCACACGCAGCCGTTTCCTCGGCACAAGGGGCGTTCAGCTGGCAGTCCCTAACGACAGTGGCGCTATATATGCACGTACGCTATATGTGTGAATGCATGCTCGTTTGTTGTTTTTGCAACGGTTAGCAAGCTGCACTACGAACCCGTCGACCCGAGTTCGATTCCTGCTCACAGCCAACAGCAATAACGAATGCCTGAATCTGTCCTGGGTCTCCCCTAGGTAGACTCAGCTCAAATGAGTACCTGGTACGGTGTAAACATCAACCACTGGGGAGACAAAGGCGGCCGGGCGTGGCGTTGGCCACCCACCCCTCATGTGCCATGCCGACCGTCGTAGGTGCTCACCAACAGCACATTGCCCCAACAGTCTATGAAAGGCCATACGGGGAATCTTTGTGCGTGTGTCAGTGTCCAGCAAAGCTCATTGTCACGCCGACGGTGCGTGCACACGCCGTGTGAGTGCCGTGTCACTGGAACGCGCTGCCACAGCGAGAGTCAGACTCGCTCGCCCGCTCCGCCGTGCATCCAGGGACATCGAACGCCGTGACGCACCGCGCGGAGTCCACATTCATCTCAGCGGATTCTGCTTACCCGATTACATTAGCAACACCGCGTGACATTTGGAGCTGATGACCTTTTTAAGTGATTCTACACAAGTAAAAGGGGGAAGGGTAAAGGTGCAGCCTCGCATTTGCTCGCTTTAGCGCACGGGGCCTCGACTGGAGAGCACCCTGAAGAGCCCCTCGAGCGCGAGTTCGTTAAATATGGGCACGCACGAGTTCATTAAGCCGATCTAAAACAGGATTTCCTTTTTGTACTGTTGCCAAGTGTAAAATGACGGTTCCTTTGCTGGTAATGTTTTTTGTAATTTAGCTGAAGCATTGCATTGTTTTGTTGTCTTTCCGCCGCACCTATGATTAGCGCGGTTGGCTACGCACGGTGCAAAGGAAGTTCAACATACGTAGCAAATGAATTACAATTATACCTATTTATGCTTTAAAACACTGCACTGTGATAAGATCTTCCCGGCAAGGATGTAGCAACTGGTGGAACCACTGCTGGCTAACCTCGCAAAAAAAAAAAAACTACAAGAACCAATCCTGTCTAAAACAGTGATCAATATTAAATCGACAACTTCGTGATGCCCACTTGGTACCTGCAAGATGTACGGGCAGGGTTTCCAGCCAAAGAGACAGACGCGTAGACACCCCGACACAAACATGGACACACACATGGACACCTTGATTTATACACCAAGACACAAAGATGGATAGACACATAGGACCATATTTACATCTCAGATAAAATGCATCGGTCGTGATGATTCGCTGGATTGTTGGTGATGGAGCCATCGCAAACTAATGAATCAAAGCTGCAATTGAACATTTTAATGAAATGAGCTTGGGCAGGAGACGTCACGAGAAGGCATGTCGACCAATGGTCCCGATTAGCAACGGAGTTGCAACCATCAAGGACTGGTACGCGTCCAAGGTGACAACCACCAGACGAGAGATGGAGCAATGAAATCAGCTCATATGCTGGTGCTTTTTGGATCATTACATCGTAGGATTGTGCAAACATTTCTACTGCTTGGGGAGGCCTTAATCTAGCAGTGGATTGATCGCATTTGATGACGATGACTGTTGGTAGGAAAACAGTTTGGCACTTCCCAAATGAGTGTCTGGGTGCAGCACCATCACCACCACGTGACAAGACACACTTGGCGACACGCTGAGTGTCTGGGTGCAGCACCACGACCACGTGACAAGACACACCTGGTGACACGCTGAATGTCTGGGTGCAGCTCCACCACCACGTGACAAGACATACCTGGCGACACGCTGAGTGTCTGGGTGCAGCACCACCACCACCACGTGACAAGACACACAGGGCGACTCGCTGAGTGTCTGGGTGCAGCACCACCACGTGACAAGACACACCTGGCGACAAGCTGAGTGTCTGGGTGCAGCACCACCACCACGTGACAAGACACACCTGGCGACACGCTGAGTGTCTGTGTGCAGCACCACCACCACCACGTGACAAGACACACCTGGCGACACGCTGAGTGTCTGGGTGCAGCACCACCACGTCACAAGACACACAGGGCGACACGCTGAGTGTCTGGGTGCAGCACCACCACCACGTGACAAGACACACAGGGCGACACGCTGAGTGTCTGGGTGCAGCACCACCACCACGTGACAAGACACACCTGGCGACACGCTGAGTGTCTGGGTGCAGCACCACCACCACCACGTGACAAGACACACCTGGCGACACTCTGAGTGTCTGTGTGCAGCACCACCACCACGTGACAAGACACACCTGGCGACACTCTGAGTGTCTGGGTGCAGCACCACCACCACGTGACAAGACACACCTGGTGACACGCTGAGTGTCTGGGTGCAGCACCACCACGTGACAAGACACACCTGGCGACACGCTGAGTGTCTGGGTGCAGCACCACCACTACCACCACGTGACAAGACACACCTGGCGACACGCTGAGTGTCTGGGTGCAGCACCACCACGTGACGAGACACACCTGGCGACACGCCGCGCGCACACGGCGACCCAAACAGCCCGAGACAGACGCGCCGTGACCACCGCCGCACCTTGCAGACGAGCTCCCTGCCCGTGTGCGTGTTCACCGCCCTCAGCATCCTCTGGCCCTCCAGCGGCTCGAGCAGCACGTAGTGGCCGATGCGCGACGCGCAGACGAACGTGCCGGGGGTGCCCGGCGGCGTGGGCGAGCCGAGGCTGCCGGGGAACGGACCGGGGCTCAGCGCCGCCTGAGAGGAGGAGGAGGACCCCTGCTGCTCGGACGAGCTGCGCCGAGCCCAGCCGCCTGCGCCGGGCGGCGGCCCCGAATCGTCGGCCGGGTCTCCGCCGTGGGTCTTGTGGCGCGCGTGGGGACCCGGGCGGGCGATGGCGATGGGCAGGGAGCGCTGCACGTTCATCTTGCCCACTGGGAGGAGTGGCAGGAGACGCGGGGAGACCCCGGAGGAGGTCTGGCGTGCAAGCGGACAGAGAGGAAGATGATTAAGAGTGGGGTGACTGGTGGTGTATTAAATGATGTGCGTCCCTTCGCCGACCCGTGAGTTTACCCCAGGCACTGTGCATTCCTACCACACTGCGCGCTTGGGAAACCATCGAGGAATTCAGTTCTCATAACCCCCCCCCCCCCCCCCCCCCCAGAGCAGATGTGCTCCGCTGGTCAGTAAAGCTGTCTTAAGATAATAGCCAAGCTTGCTGTTATAATGAGTAAAGAGGTAAAGGTGCAGGGCTGCAATTGCTTGCTCACGCCACTGCGGGAGGATGCGCCTCCACTCGATGGGTCTCGAGAGAGGTCATCGAGACGCGATGTCGGCCTCCTCTCGGGAGAGGCACCACACTTGCCACACCACAAGCGGCCTGCCGACCGGTCAACATGGTATCGTTTACAGTCCTTTGTTAATCCTCAACAGGATAAAGACCCCCTTATGCACTGTCGGTCGTAGGGTTTAATCGACCATACTTCACCCAGCTGGTCAGTCCGGGCAGGTGTAGAGAGACAGAGAGAGAGAAATGAGACAAGGATGAGAAATCACTCGGCACCGATGAAATTCGTGCGCGGGAATCGAACGAGGGCAGCCCAGGCGATTCCTCGAGCAGTGAGTGCGCTAACTGCTGCGCCACCGCTCGCCACCTCCGAGATTGTGTAACGCGACAATAATGGGACGAAGCGGCGCTGGTGCCATCGCACGCATTCGTGAATTGTCTACAATTGTCTACACACGGTCGCGGTGTGCGCTGCGTGTGCGCTACGTGTGTCAGGGATGCGCTGTTCATATACCAGAGACGCGAGAGTGCGTGGAAGGCGACACGTCACCACCGGGCTACCCTGCACAAGCTGCTAGGCACGAGGGGGCATTGTTCTGGCCAGACGGCAGCCGAAGAGAAACAAACACGGCTGGGCATCGCTACCCTTGCCTGCTACAGCACCCGTCTATGTGCACGAGTCGTGGTGTTGGTGTGCATGTGGAGGTGTGTGTCTGTGTGTGTGTTCTGCGTCTACTATACACGCATCGCCACAATACATACGAGCATCGTGTGTATATCGTGCACACCAACACACACACACCGTGCACACCAACACACACACCGTGCACACCAACACACACACCGTGCACACCAACACACACACCGTGCACACCAACACACACACACCGTGCACACCAACACACACACACCGTGCACACCAACATACACCGTGCACACCAACACACACACCGTGCACACCAACACACACACACCGTGCACACCAACACACACACACCGTGCACACCAACACACACACCGTGCACACCAACACACACACACCGTGCACACCAACACACACACCGTGCACACCAACACACACACCGTGCACACCAACACACACACCGTACACACCAACACACACACACACCGTGCACACCAACACACACACCGTGCATACCAACACACACACCGTGCACACCAACACACACCGTGCACACCAACACACACACCGTGCACACCAACACACACACACCGTGCACACCAACACACACACCGTGCACACCAACACACACACTCCGTGCACACCAACACACACACACCGTGCACACCAACACACACACCGTGCACACCAACACACACACTCCGTGCACACCAACACACACACTCCGTGCACACCAACACACACACCCCGTGCACACCAACACACACACTCCGTGCACACCAACACACACACACCGTGCACACCAACACACACACACCGTGCACACCAACACACACACTCCGTGCACACCAACACACACACAGTGCACACCAACACACACACACCGTGCACACCAACACACACCGTGCACACCAACACACACACCGTGCACACCAACACACACACACACCGTGCACACCAACACACACACCGTGCAACACCAACACACACACACCGTGCACACCAACACACACACACCGTGCACACCAACACACACACTCCGTGCACACCAACACACACACTCCGTGCACACCAACACACACACCGTGCAGACCAACACACACACACCGTGCACACCAACACACACCGTGCACACACGCACATCGCCGTGCAACACAAAGAAACACAACTACAGCACTGTATACACACACACACACACCAAGACATGCACACACATAAGAACACAAGTATATGAACACACACACACTTGAATACACGCACACGCGCACACCACAACACGCACACACACCCCGCTGACACACACACACCCCACTGACACACACACACCACGAACACACAGACACACACGCCCCACTGACACACACCCCACGAACACACACACACCCCGCTGACACACACACCCCACGAACACACACACACCCCGCTGACACACACACCCCACGAACACACACACCCCGCTCACACACATCCCACGCACCCCACGGGGCCGCTGTCTCACCGCTGTCCTCGGTCGCGTCTCCCGGCGTCGTCTCCCGGCTCCTCGCTCCACAATCCCTGCTCCTCCACCCTCTCGTCGCGGCAGAGCTCCCAGCACGACCGCAGCCAGAGCGCGGCACCACCACCACCTACAACTACCACCACCTACAACTACCACCACCACCTACAACTACCACCACCACCTACAACTACCACCACCGCCACCTCCACCTAACACGACTCACACAACCGCTGCGCCTGAAGGCCACGGGGATAGGGACCCTGGGCTGCTGGTGTGTGGCGAGCGGGGCGCGGGAGGAACCGCGGGGGGCGATGGAGGAGGAGGAGAGGGGCAGCTGCCCTCTGCCTCAGTCCGCACAGCGGCCGACCCGGGGCTCTGCGAGTCTCTCACCGTGGCCCCGCGGCTCGGAGCTGCAGCTGGGAGTGCATTGCATCACCGCTCAGCTCGCTCGGCCCGCTCCCAGAGCCCGGCTAGCTGGCAGGCGATGCGAGCATTTGGCGAAAGGCTCCCTCCATCCTCTGTCGAGCCTCCCTCCCTCCCTCCCGTCCTCCCCTCCCTCCCTCCTCGCCTCTCTCACACGGGCGAGCGCGAGAGAGAGAGAGAGAGGCAGGAGCCCACCGCTATCTTGATCCGGCGAGGAACCGCCTACCCCTCGCCTCTCCCCCGTCCGCCCTCTCTCTCTCTCTCTGCCTCTCGCCCGCCTCGCTTCCTTCCACAGACGCAGCAGCAGCATCAGCCTCCTGCTGCTGCTGCTGCGCCCTGCCACCCAGTCGAGCTGTCACCCCCTCCCCGACCCGAGCCCCACCCCGGGACAAGAGCGCTTCTGAAAACACCGAAGGCGCGGGCGGTGTGCCGCCCTCTCCTCCACACTCGGGAAACAAAGACAAAGGTGTAGACTCGTGTAGTCTCTTGACTGCTGGGGCAAGGGCTGTCCGCGAGTACCTTGCGTGGTGCGGTCAAGCAACCACGCCCGGCCGCCTTTGTTTCCCCAGCGCTGTTGCGTACACACGACGAACTAGGTGCTGGAATCGCTTAAGGCTGAGTTGACCTTGGGGAGGTACACGGCCGGTTTAGATAGAATCGCTCGCCTAACGATGTTAGCCGTGGCCGGCAATCGAACAAAGATGAGTGCGTCAACCGCTGCACCACCGCTCCACGCACGCACGCATTACCGCGGGACCATATGCACACGCATCACTCCCACAGAGCTGTCTGATGTACTTAATAACGCATCTCCTACTCCACACAGAATGGGGTGGGTGAAACTCGCATTGAATGAGTCCATGCTGATGAGCAGGACCGCGATACTCCAGAGACGATTGCGTGGAGGAGCCTCACACGGAGCGCCCCACGGCTCACACGCAGAGCGGTCCGGAGAGACCGGAGAGAGAGCCACTCTCCTCCCGCGCACACCACGATCAGCCCCTCCTCTACCTCGCACCACAACAATACAAACACCACCCCCCCAGGGTGGCCAGCACCACGCCCGGCCGCCTTTGTCTTTCCAATTGCGATGTTTACACACCGCAACAGGTTTTCGCTTGAGGCTGAGTCGACCTAGAGGAGCCCCACGACCGGTTCAGATAATCGTCACCGGTGTTGGCCGTGAGCGGCACTGGAACTCGCGTGGCCGAGTTTGTAGTGCAGCGCGGCGCTAACCGTTACGCCACCGCTCCCCACAAATACCTTACACGCACACAGAGAGAGAGAGAGACTGTCACACCACCAACCCCAACCGCTCACCCTGCACGCACGGACTGCCACATGACCTCTGACCCACACCGCGATGGTGCCCTCTCCGGCCCTCAGCACCCCCAGCTCTCTCGCTCTCTCTCTGAAGGAGTTGCCGCGTGTTAGTAGAGTCGACCACGCGCTCGGGGGTCGGCGCACAGCCTTGCATTGTCGGGAAGTACAGTACTGGATTATGTCATTTAATGTGACTTGAAAATGCAAAAAAGAAAAGTGCTGCCATAAGTATAAGGGAGAGTGGTGGCGAAGTGGTTTGCGCACTGCGCTGTGGACCCGGACATCCGTTAACCAGCAATGACCAGCGTGGTGAAGTATGGTCAAACAACCCCATACGACCTACACACCTTGGGGAGGCCTTCGTCCAGCAGTACATGAAGAGCTATAAAACAAACACCTCTGAAGGTGCTGACAATGGCACGGTGGGCCCACGTGATCTGAACATTGTAAACACCGCGCTGCAAGCAAACACTGCAGAGGCCACGCGTTGCGGGATCGATCGATCCTCCCCAACTAGCCGGAACCCTTACCTCGTAGCCCACCAGCTGGGACTAGCCTTGCCACTGACCCTACCCCTCACCATAGCCATCCGACTAGCCACGACTACCGGACATGTCACTGACCCCTCCGCATCCCCCGAATCCCAGCGTTCGTTATTGCCAGGCCCGCGGGCCTCTGGTGGCGATTCGTGCGGCCCCAATGTACGGACAATACCCAACGAGTGGAAACGCCTCCCCAATCATCGTGCCGCTGTCAACCCCCCGATGGTTTTAAATGCGTGGCGATCCTCACACCGATGATGTCTTCTCGGCAAAAGGTCCCCCCCCCGCCAGCACCTCTCAAATGAGTGAAGACCACTCGCTGCCCGCTGTGCCCGCTCCGCGTGTTGTTTTCACCGATCCCGCTTCGCTGGGGATAGGGGAGGGGGACGGGGTCAGGAGGCGAGTTGCGACAGAGAACATTCCTGAGCCCGGCCGGTATGGCCTCGGGGTATCTTTCAACAAAAAAGATCCTTCCACCTCTCTTTCTCTCGATTGCGCAACGTCGTCTCTTGTAAGACGCCACTCGAGGTGTATAAAACTCACACACACGCAGCACGTACACCCCCCCCCCCGTCTTCGCTCTCTTTCTTTCTGATACCGCATTCTCGGGGGGGGGGGGGGGGGCTTGGGAAAGGACAACAGGGCGAGTTGTGTGATGTGTGTGCACTTCTCTCTGTGTGTTGTTCTTGGCCGTGTTCAGTCAATAGCCGTCACAGTCAGTTGTCCGGTAACACCCGGATAGACCCCGGGTCTAGCCGGGTCCAGCCGTGACCTCCTGCCACCAGCGAGCCTTCGACGCTTCAAGCGACGGCCTCAACGTGCACCTAGCCTGGCACGACTACCGTGGGCCGACGTCAGCGTCGCTTCGTGGCGAATGGCGTCTGTTGTTGTGGCTGACCGAGCGGGTTCACTTGACCGATCAGCTCGGCACATCTCCGATATGTTTTCATGGCCCATTGTCTATTGTGGGCCGGTTGATTGACATGGGTGGCAGTGTCGAGCAGAGGTGGTTGTCTCTGGCCAATGTTACTCCGGAAGGAGGGTGCTGGCGTGCGCCCTGCACCACCAAATGTCCCATTGCCCCCCCCCTGGCCCCCCAAGTTCACTCTCCTCCTCAGTAGTGAATCACCGTGAGGGTGGCCCCCCACGTAGCAGTTCCACTGCCCCCCCCCCCCCCCCCCCCACTGCAATCCGAGAAGAGCCGGAGCCAGGCCTGCACTCTGACTTGACTTTCTGAAAGTCATTCTGCAATTGTACATTTGTCCATAGGTGATGCATTACTTTTGCTATTCACGGTACATTCACAGCCACGCCGTGTTATGCAATTCAGAAATATATCGTTTATTATGGACGTTGGGTCGATTGTTAACATCGCTGGATTGTGAGAGGTGATGGCGGCTTGGGGAGGCCTTCATCCAGCAGTGGATTGACCACGACTCATGATGATGACTAGAGACGAGTGTGACTGACGTCAATTCTAATGATGACTAGCAAGCTCATACTTGCCACATATATGGTCAGGTCTTTGCTTACAATTAGACAACTCTGGAAACCTTAATGTTTGAATTTGGACCTTCAGAAATGATGGCTTAGAGATGGAACAGGTTAATTCATTTTAAAGTTCTACATTGCTCATTTTAAACACTTACACACACGCAACCTCAATCATCGGTGAACCAGGTAATTTGTTTTCCGTGGGGTGTGACGCTAAAGCCGAAGATGTCAATCGGATGTGGAGGCGTTTCCATTGCAGTTCTATATCCATTTACTGTGCAAGATGCATGAACACGCACACGCTACATAGACGCGATATAAAAGATTATCGTTATCAAAATGGATTGGTTTCACTTGTGATCGATATTTGACCTCAAACTGTGTTTCTGTAAAAACAAAAACAAGCTAAAGGCGCAGCCCTGCAATGCCTTGCTCACGCACCTGCTGGCAGAAGACGGGCCTCATCTACGGTGACATCCACTGAGCCCCGCTACAGGGCGTTTGGCCTACTCTTCCACGCTGGCCTGACATCACGGAAGTGTTGGCAAATACCCACGCTTTACCACTGGCCTGCGATGTACCCACCCCATCCGTGCTGCTGCGTAGACAGAGAGCTGGGAGGGTTTGACGAACCCGCCCTTTGCGTTAACGCTCGGCTGCAACCGCGGTAACCTTGGGGTAAGCGGTGGGACGCGGATGGAAATTAACCGATAACCACTTACGCGTCGCCGGTTGATGTACACACGGAAGGAGGGCAAATTCGCAACAACCACAAAAATAGATGGCCGAATCTCATTAAAACAAATTAAACAATTAACAAGCAACGCGTGTGTGGGATTGGAAATGTCCACACCCCATCCATTGTAGCTGTCCGCTCATTAATTATCATCCGCAACAGGCAGGAATATAAACCAGTATTTATAGGAGTGAAATATAATGTGGAAGAACCGAGGCATTTGCCTCTTCGGAGGATATTTCAATGCCGTTGTGTTGGCATTGTATTCTGAGCTGAATAACCGCAGCCCTTGAGGTATTGGGAAGTAATTTCTGTAGGTGAAATAATAATGAATACAGATGACGATTGCAAAAGGATGTGTCGCTAATGACAAGCAACACCTGAATGAAAGATGTTGTAATCGATATTTAAGCTTCTCTCGCTGAGCCGGGATCAATATCTCTCTCTATATAACACGAACCAGAGCAGTAAAGTCAATACGTTTCTCTGGGAATGGCAGGACATTGAATTTGGCAAAATAGCGGTCACACTGCTCAGCCACTCTGGGGTTCTGTGCAGTGTCACTCTGAGCCATTATTGCTGCGGTTTGCTGAGTTGTCAGCATTACCATGGAGCCTTAAGAGTAGACAAAACTGGCTGTGCCCCTTTGCAGTTAGCACGCGTGCTCGTGTCAGTCAGTCAAGGGATTGGGGGGGTGTTTGACCATACTTTACCATCCCAGTAAACATACCAACGTTGGGCCTACGTTGGCATGTGGCTGTATGCACTGGACCCACGTTCCATGTTTACTGGTACTCTGGTGAGTGGGATTCGGCCCAATCCAGCCGCTCCTTCAGTCCTGTCGCCGTGTTTACATAACAGGGGCATACACAAACTAGACACGTGTTAACAACATGAGTATCGATACTATCTGTCTTTGTCTGTCATGTATTCTGATGTACCTCTCACCCCCTGTGTATCTGAGGAAAGGCTGCAAATCAAATTGCTTAATTGTGCTAATTTCTACCGCCGCCTTACCTGACTCTAGAGTC